ATAGGAGTAATCGAAAACTACATTTTCGATTACTCCTATTCGTTGTAAACATATAGAAATCATATACAGCCATGATTTCATTCCCAAGGCATGGCTGTATATGATTTCTATATGTTTACAACGAATAGGAGTAATCGAAAACTACAGTTGGATCCATTTGGTATAGTAATTGAGAACTTCAGTTGGATCAAGTTTTGGCTTCTCACTAGCTTTTTTTTTTTTTTTCTCTTCTCCTTCATTTCCATTGAATCCCATTGACACCTCAAGTTGATATGGGATACAAACGCATTCAAGTCGAGAATTACTCAGTTTTCCAATTGGTATGTTTCTTAGGCTCAGTATTCTTCCCACAAGATGTCTTTTGGTATATCTACCCCATAATTATGCTGCTCTCCTTATGCACTGCTTGTATCTCTAGCACGTGAAGGAGTTTTAAGTAGAGTGTTCAACTTCTGTTGCCAACAATTCCCGTTCTTAACATATATATGACTACAACAATAAATATCGACGAGGAACCAGACTTAGAATCACAGGAGATGGAGCATATTCGGCAAGTTTAGGCCAAATGCAAATTTGGAGCTTTGAATCAGTAATTAAATGAACAATAATGTTTTGAAGTAATTTTTGTTATTTACCTCTTTTGTATTACATTTCTGTTAGCATATAGCCAATGTAATCCGAGCAAAAAAATATTTTTCAGATTTTTTATTTTATTTTTTTGTCTCTATCAAAGGATGTCAATTTATATTGGTACTACAATTTTTATTCGTTACATTACATTTTAATTGTACTTCGCTTTATAGCAATCATTTTTTTAATTTTTTTGGGGTCAAATTCTTATCTTCAATTTTTCATTAATTAGTACATCTTTTCATTGACGATGATTTACTTCAAATATTTTGTTCTATGCTTTGAGACGAGGAGAATGTACTTTTCGTAATTATTTATTATTTAAAATATGATAAAAAAAAATCTTGTTGTATGCTATTTATTAAAAAATAGAATGAAATATATACCGATTTGGCCTTAAGCCATAGTCGTTAAAACATTCCAGCTACGATGGACCTACATGCCACTCCATCTCGATCCCCCTTGATCTCAGTTTTAGACTGAAAATTGGGCCAAAATCTAGCCTTGGTACTCCCACCACCATCGAGGCCCCGGTAGCAGCAGCGTTGTGACCTACATGCCACTCAATCTCGACCCCCATTAGTCTCGAAGGACCCACTTGGGCTAAGATTTTGCCTCGGTGCCCCTTGGTCTCGACGGACCAACCTGGGCCAAGATTTGGCCTCGATGCTCCCACCGCCATCGAGGGTCCTGTAGTAGCAGCGATGTGACCTACATGCCACTCGATCTCGATCTCCCTTGGTCTCGACAGACCATGAAAGAAATTACATTGGAGTGATGTATTGAAGTCATATATTGTCCTTGAGATAATTGCTTTCTTTTGGTTGGCTTCAATTTCTACATGTTTCCAATATTTTTCCCATTGAGGACACCAGTTTGTGCGACTCCATGTACTCATTTGGAGGTCCATTTTTGGCGTTGTTGTGGTTTTAAGAGGCAACTCGCTTAATTGGTGGGTTAGCATATTTTGTATGGAAAATTCAACTTGTACATAATTATTGCACATAATAGTGTCCACAATGTGATGGGACATTCATTTGGTTGTTGATGTGCAAGTGTGAGATTTGAATTAAAAGTTGGATCCAATGCCACGTGTAATTATGAACACCGTTATATAGACAATTATGTACACGTAGCACTTTCCATTTTGTATAGTATCTATTGATTCTTGATTGTGTAGTATTGAAGATGCTAAAGTGATTGAAAGGAGACAAAAAGTTCAAATTAAATTGAATCTTGCACTTGTAGAATTCTGTCGTGAGCTGCACTAAGAGGCCAATAATAAAATAGAGTTGGTGCTATGAACTGGTAAGATAATCATCTCCACTTTTGAATCCTATATTATCTATCACAATGAATTTGTGATGTTTAATTTAAATAATATGGTAATCATCTAAATAAATTTTTATGTTGCGTAGCCTTAAGTAATGGATATACTGGCAATTTGTATACTTGCTGCTGAAGATTATTATTATTCTTTATGGGCACAAAGTGAATCAAGATTTGTTTTTTGGTTGGCGGTTTTGATCCATCTAATTTTGGAATGTCCTTTTTGTCCTAGGATACGTAGAAAAATATTGGTCAAGAAACAGAGAATATAGGTTGGGAATTACTCAACTCTATGTCGCACCCGATATTATTGCACATGATTTAATTATCACAAGTTTGATATGAAAGGCGAGTGATGTCTTCCATGCACAACTCCAATGGTCACTCACATTGGGTCGGGCTAAAGGGTTTTCTTGGTAATGCTATGGCAAAAAGATCCATTGCCAGATGTAAGTTGAAGCAGATGACCCAAAATCTGTTGTATACTAGTTAAATTAAGAGTATACGTTTGAAAGCAGTTCTAGACAATCACTGAATAAAGTGAGTATGCAACTTCCCATTTATCGGCTCTATTGTTCAAACTATAAAGCTTTACTGTCTTTTTCTCTGTTCCAGTTTTCACCGTTCGTCCAATTGGATATTGATAGATCAACGTGTCTATTACTTCATTGAACCGTCCAGTTTGTCATTTGGATGTGGAATTTACAATAAAATAATACTATCATTGCCAACACCAATTACAATACTGCCCTTTTAATAGTTTTGAATTAGGAATTGGCAAGTTGAGAAGAAGGGTGAAATTGTAAATCTATTTCCAACGGTTGTGGTGGCATTATTGTCGTCTGACACACGACTTCATCAGTTGCAGAAAATGTCTCTAACTTATGGGTTGAAAATGTTGAAAAATGGGGGAAAATGTAGTGGTGGCAATGGGTCGAGTCGGCACCCTTAATCTCACGAGCTCGGCTCTCGCTTGTGGCTCGTTTTCAACGAGCCGAGCTTGGGCTCGGCTCGTGGGCTCGTCCAAATTTTTTTTTTGAAAGAGTTTTACAAATAAATGAAATAATATAAAACACTTTTAAAAAAAAAGTGTTTAAAAATACAAATAATTTAACGAAAATAATTTATTATTATTTTTTCTTTATATCATATTGTAATACGTTTTATAAAGTATAAAATATTTATATAATGAAGACGAATTATTTTTTGAAATACATTTACGAAGAATATATTTTTTCGATTTCTTTTTAAAGTAGATAAAATGTAAACCCTTCTCCTTTATCCGGGCTTGGGACTGACTACATTAATTTTAAGTAAGCGGAGTTAAAAATTATAACGAACAACTTGTTGTAACGTGTACAATTTTTTTAAAGAAAATTAAATTTAACGATTAAAAAATAAAGAAATTTTGATTAATATAATTAAATCAAATATCACTTACATGACGACATGTAATTTCAGCGTATTTATCTTATAGTCAAAAATGAGCGTTCTGTCAATCCTTCACGCACATTAACGCTTCCAAAACATCTTCTTTCAGTCGGCTCCTAACATCGGTTAAAACCTTTTTACCTGCACTAAAAGCAGACTCCGAAGCAAAAGTGCTGACCAGAGGTGTCAGCAGATCTTTCGCAATTGTAGAAACAATTGGCCAATATCTTTCATACTTTCGCCAGAATTCAATTATTTCTCTTGAACTTTTTTTAATTGTTCTGTCGTTGGCATATTATGATTGAAGTAATCAATTAATTTGGCAGGCATCGCATTTGGAGTTTCGGCCGATGTTTGATGAGATGCAAATGTAGACGACATGACACTAGATAAATACATTACAGTTGTATCATATCTCAATGTATTAATGCATTGAAATAAATTCATTATTTCGGCATCTTCTTCAATTTCAGCAGAAGGAGTAGGTGCAGAGGGTACCCGACTAACATTCGCACCCATTCTTTCCGCATAGCAATCATACATTCTACATAATGTTTGCTCTAAATTCTTATAGGTGATAGGTGTATTAAGTATTAAAATTTTATTGATTTGATCAATTACGTATTTAGTTCCTGAAATATTATATCGGGGGTCCATTGCACATGCTAAAGAAAATAACATAGGCAGCTCTTCCCAATATTTTCTAAACTTTAATTCCATATCAATTATAATTTCATTAAAAACAGGATCATTTTTATATCTATGGAATGTTCTTGTAATTATATAAAAGCGTTCAAGCACCATACAGCTTATGGGATAATAAATGCCGGATAAAATCTTTGTGATCTCATAAAAGGATCTCAAAAATCGTTTAACTTTCATAGCCAAAATTCAATCGAATTCATTTAACATACCATCCTCATCACTTCTAACGTGTCTATTGTTATAAAAGTCAATTATTAAATTTTCGAAACCTTCACATGACTTTAATAGCAAGTAGAGTTCCATCTATGACTTACGTCGCTAACAAATATTTAGCAGTCGTTACCCCTAGTTCGGCATAAAAATCTGCAAATGCTTGTTTTCTATTAGGAGAGATCGTAATATATACTAATGTATTCCTAATCTTTTGAAGCTCATCCTTTATATGTTTTAAATCATCTTGCACAATTAAATTCAAGATATGACACACACAACGAATATGAAACAAATACCTACCAAAATCAGGTTGAAGTGTCCTACACAATTTATCAACGATTACCTTATTAACACTAGCATTATCAAAAGTAAAAAAAATCGAATTTTAGTCTCGCAATGATACTATCTAACAATACTGATAATAGCATTATATATATTATTAGCATTGTGAGGAAACTCAATAATTTTAAAAGCAATAATTTTCTTATGCATGCACCAAAGTGGGTCTATATAGTGTGCGTTGTAGTTATATATGCTCTTTTATTAACCTCTTCCCATATATCAGAAGTTAAAGATATAACACCTCCATATTGTTGCAAATACATAATTAATTGTTATTTTAAATTATTGAAATAATTTATTGTATCGGCACAAAAAGTGTTTTGACTTACCCCAACGTATCTCGGCTGTAGATATTCTTTCACGTACGAAAAAAAGTGTTGATTGTCTGCAATAGTTAGAGGCAACTTAGTGGTGGCAACAAATTTCATTATTCCAGTTCGAGTATTGTCCTCTGAATATACCCACGTGGATAGTGGTGACGTTGTAGAACCGGCACCCGAACTGCCAACTTGCAATTGTGTTTAACCTGCTGGAAGAAGTCCATGTCTGGCGCACATGCTTTGTAGTGGCGGTTGATATGGATGGTACCAATTCCTTTTTGCCATGTCAATCTTTGTTGGCAGTATTTACATATTGATTTAGATTCTGCAAGGTCATCGATGACTTTTCCTGTTGAAATCAACTTAAAGTGATCCCCAACATTTTACTTGTTTTTTAGCCTTTCACTTTCACCTAGCATTTGGGATGTTTAATTCAACATCTTCATCCTCATGTTTCATTTCGGGAACGTTTATATCATCCAAATCAATTGAATTGTACCTTCCCTGACCATGAATGTGAACATCTTCAGGTATCGGCAGGTCATTTAGACCGGCAAATTCATTTGAAAATTGGCTTTGCGGCATCCTAGGCGATTCGCCATGATGTGGCCCACATCCTGTATCGAACAAGTTTTCAACAAATGAGCGTTGATCCATTTGTTTGATTGTTTATGATGAAATCTTAACTAGACGAATATAAATATAGTGAGATTGTGAGAATTGAGAATTGGATGAATGGAAATTGTAACTAATAAATTGTAAAAATTGAATTGATATTGTATATTTTGCAGCACAAGAGAGTAAAAACTCGATAATTGATATAATAAAAGAGAGTTGGAGACTTGGAGTAGCAATTGATATGAAAAAAATCTTTGGGGGAAGGGGTATTTATAGTAGAACGGGGGGAAAAAATTAAAAAAAAATATTTTAGTGACTGCTTTGGTCAATGAAAAAATTCAGTGACCAAACGATCACTAAAAAAAGTGACTGTTTTGGTCACTTTACATTAGGGGGCTCGAGCCGAGCCCACGAGCGGCTCGCCTCAATACCAATTATCGACTTCAACACAAAGCACAGTATAAAAATATACTAGATGCCGTTATAAATTTCGGCTCGTGGCTCGTTCAAACGAGTTGAGCCCACGAGCGGCTCACCTCATTCCCAATCCTCGACTTCAACATAAAGCATAGTATAAAAATATACTAGATGCCGTTATAACGGAATTTAATATAATATACCATTGCAATGGTAGTTGGGAAACTACATCACCTTATAAAGAAAGAAGCAGCATGTTACTATTAAATCACCTTAAAAACAAACTGAAGTTTAAAAGTACCTAATAACAAATCTACTAATTTGATAATTCGAAAGGATAACAAATCTATTAATTTCATAATTCTAAAGGAAAAAGAGAGAGATACAAAAAAAGAATAGATAGGTCAAGACTAAGTTTGTAAGTTTATGGCAATAATGGACACATACAATCCGAATAAAACAGACCCTTACAGAGTAAATAAGTTTTATCTAAGTATCTTGATAAGATTAAATAGGCATCAATAATTATCTCATAGTTGTATACAATATTCTCCTCATTAAAAACCTAATTTGACAAAAACTCAGTGGGACAAAAATACCAACACAAATGAAAAAAGTGTACACATAATTATAACAAATTGTGTATTAATAAAATACTGTCTCATTAATATTGTGTCATGAAAATCTAATGGGGCAAAACTTGATTGACAAAGAAAAGTGTAAATCTACTCCTTTGATTTAAATAAATAAAAATTCTTGTATCGAGCATCTATGTCTTGTACGTCACTGTTTCAAATATCTCAATTCTGGTAAAATATGTTTCATTTTGTCTTGTTATAGCATACAAGTAATATTGTTTTCATAGAAGATTTTTATCAATCTTTGTTTGATTTTAGACAACATGATGATCCAATGAAAAAAAGATTGTGTTATTGCTCTCTTCTAGAGTCATCGACAATTTGTAACATATAAAAGTATTATTTTGAGAGTAAATGTCTAGTGGGTTATAGAAATCTATTACACAAAGAATATGCCACGTTAAAATCATACTAGAAAAATCATGTGCAAAAAATTTTAATAAAGGAAAAGTAGTACATTTTTCTTTTAAGTATACTAAAAAAGTTCTCATTAGAAATCCCGTCATGAAATTCAATGGGACGAAATTTTGATTAAAAAAAAAGTACAACACATATTTATTCCTCCTCAAAATAATATCACTTGAATTATATGTTTCAGTCATATTAAATTCTTCAAGGATAACATTAATAGTGATGCCAGTCACATTTCAAATTTCATGCATCGTGATGATAACGATATATTGACTTGTGATTGCATTCACTATGGTCATGGCGAAATTTATTATGTTGAAAAGTCGTGCATTACATGTTACGCGTCATTTTTCTCATTTACTTTTTGCATGGGTATATACATTTAGGTCCTCGAACTTTAGGTCCAAATGCTTCTGGTTTCCCTAATAAGTTCAGTTTTAATAAGATTGCGTTCTTAATTTTGCTAATCCTTATTTTGATCAATATACTCAACAAATTTATTTCGATATATTTGCTATTCATAATATGAAGTGGTATATCATTTACAAAAGTATTGTCAACAACTTTTTCTTTTCTTTTCGATTCTATTTCTTTTTCATAATGAAAAGAATCACAGCACTCTCCCTTTTAGGGATTCTCCTTTTTCATATGGTGCCTAGTGGCACCCCTATTTCAACTGGGCAACCTCAGCCCGATTCGAGTAACACAGCCCCCCTTTTTAGTTATCCAATTTGTGCTTCAATACCGTATCTGACTTGACTTTAATTAATACTCATGTTTCTAAGATTTTCTTGATCAATCATTCGCTAAGAAAATTAATTGGCGGACCAAAATAAACTTATATTCTCATCATTCTTTAATATCTATCCCATTGCACTATGGTATATATATTGCACATTAGAAAATCATTAGATGAAAAATATTAGGTTCTAACCATAAATTTAAAGTTAAGCTCTAACTTTGACATTGGCTTGCTGCATAATGTCATTATCCAAACATAAATGGAAAGTACTTTGTTTTTAACAGTAATAGTTAAGAAATTAATTGGAGGTATTTAACAATCAATTATGTTAAACAATTTATCATCATCCCAGTCAACATTTATCAAAATATTAATTTGGATGTAGATTTACTAACATTGACATGATACATTGTCTTGACGGTATAATTTAAAATTTAAGCTAATAATTTAAAATTTAATAAAAGAATTTGCAAACTTCAGGTGCAAACACAATGCAATCATCTAGTAAATATATCTATCACACACAATTATAACTAGATGGTCAAAATGCCCTATTTAATTTCAAGATTATTGAAATTTAGTTCTAACTTTATCTAGTGATGATCAAGACCAATTCATAACACATAGAAAAAGTATTATATGGGAATTCATTAGATTGAAGAATTTATAGTTCTTCTGAATATTCATTTGAATTCTTAATTTTGCATTATTATTGATCAAGTGATGAACCAAATAATAATGTCAAACAATAATATATTCAATAATTGAACTTCTTGTTCAATGCAATGTTTATTTCAAATATACCAATGTCGATATAGTATCAATCATGACAAATATTTTAGAAACTTAGTAGGTTTCTTACTAATTTAGTACTAAATTATTATCAATCATGACAAATTGTTGTTTGAAAAACAACAAGGAGTGGGTCAACTATTCAATCAAATGATATTGAGCATATTTCCAGGAAGTTTATTTTCCCACATAATGCAATATTGACTCTTTTAGAGTATCAAAACAATTTTCTTCTTTAATATACATATAAATAAATTTTTGCTTCTTTAAATGTAGTACAGTTAAAATTCAGGGTCAATACAATATTTTACATTGAAGTGTATAAATTTATAATTATCCAAGAATAACTACAGATATTGCTAAAGAATATTGTTGTATAACATTACGATATTTCGAGATCAATAAATAATATTCAAAATAAAAATATGCGATTTTTTAGAAAAAAATAAAATATTGTTCAAAGGTATTAATATAATATTCCCATAAAATATTGTTTTAAAGATAGATATTAAAGAATGATGAGAATATAAGTTTATTTTGGTCCGCCAATTAATTTTCTTAGCGAATGATTGATCAAGAAAATCTTAGAAACATGAGTATTAATTAAAGTCAAGTCAGATACGGTATTGAAGCACAAATTGGATAACTAAAAAGGGGGGCTGTGTTACTCGGATCGAGCTGAGGTTGCCCAGTTGAAATAGGGGTGCCACTAGGCACCATATGAAAAAGGAGAATCCCTAAAAGGGAGAGTGCTATGATTCTCCCTTGAGATGTTACTCTCCCTTTTCCCTTTTCATACGAAAAGGGAGAATGCTGTTTCTCCTTTTTCCCTATTCATAAGAAAATGTTATTGTCTCTTTTCCCTTTCATTCTAAAAGGGAGAGTGCTGTGAAATTTCACTTGGATCAAGTTTTGGCTTTTCACTAGCTTTTTCTTTTTCTTCTCCTTCGTCTCCATTGAAATCCCATTGACACCTCAAGTTGATATGGGTTACATATGCACTCAAGTCAAGAGTTACTCAGTTTCCCTATTGGTTTGTTTCTTAGCCTCACTGTTCTTCCCACAAAATATCTTTTGGTATTTCTACCACATAATTATGTTGCTCTCCTTATGCGTTGCTTGTATCTCTAGCATGTAGAGGTGTTTTAAGCTGAGGAGTGGATTGTTACTTGGATTTTGATGAGTAATGTGCTAACGAAGGCATACTTGCAAGTCCACTTCTGTAATGGATTTGGTAGTGATGTGCCACGGAGGAACATTTTTAGAGGAAATAAAAGAAAGGAATTAAGTCCTGACTTTTATGTTGCACCGTCTTATTTATTAAGGTATGTATTTATATATCGACAAGTAACCAATGTCTAATACTTCTGCCATCTGTGAATAATCACAAATAAAATAGATTCATTGGTTTGATATCTTGTATAGAACTCATATATATATATATATATATATGAGAAGATTTAATATAAACTCATTTACTCTCTAATTTTATAATATAACATATCCAAACTTCGTGACAAAAATGGAGCCTCCATGCTCCCGAAGAAAGATTGCCACATCGACTATAAATAAACAAAAGTAATCTTCAACAATATTCAATTTCTTCCCAACGAGTAGAGTTAAAAGGATGGTTTGAAACGAAGGATAGTGCTTTACACCGTGATGCAGTAGGGCGACATTGGTGAGAGGGCAAACATGATAATAAGTAAAAAGACTATCCACCAATTGGACAAACAGCGAAAATTGGAACAGAAAAAAGACAGTAAAGCTTTATAGTTTGAGCAATGAAGTTGGTAAATGGGAAGTTGCATACTCACTTTATTCAGTGGTTGTCCAAAACTGCATTCAAAATTAGACTCTTAATTTAACTCGTATTCAACAGATTTTGGGTCATCTGCTCTAGCTCGCATCTGGCAATGGATCCTTTTGCCACAGCATTGCCAAGAAAACCCTTGAGCAGAACCCTGTGTGAGTGACCAATAGAGTTGTGCATAGAAGACGTTACTCACCTTTCGTATCA